AGCTCAGAGAACCTGGAGCTGCAGAGGAAGTATATGAGTGCTCAGCACTCTGTGTTTTCTGGACTTGCAGTCTGATTTACATTGGATAACTTGATAGAGACCTATCCAAACAGGCTGTAATCAAAGCAAAAGGTGCTTCCACGAAGTATTAGTTAAAGGATGTGTGCACACTTATGCAACCAAGGCATTAAAAGTTTTTTTTTATTTTGAATTATTATTCCTGAAAATGATTCACTTTTTTTCACTGAAATATTGTTGGTTAACTACAATATTGTTGATGTAAGATCTTATTAAAGGTGAAAAAAGGTCTGCCATAATTTGTCTTGATTTCAGCCTTTACATCAACAAAAGATTAAATTAAAATTAGGGTGTGTAGACTTTTGATATCCAGTGTATCAAGGTGTGGGCTGTGTAGCAGCCATATGGTCTTAATAAAAGGCCTACTAACCTCTTCTTGTCAGACAAAGAACAACCTGAATTTTCCCCTTTCTCTGCCTTCAGCAGAATAAGTGCCAAAGCTGTGAAAAGGACCACATCCTAAGATACAGACTGCTGGATGCTGGGAAACAGTCCTGGTGCTGAATTGTCCAGTTAGCCCATTATCTTCAGCACATTGATTCTTTACTTGTACGACTAACTCTTATGACTAATTTGTTTGATCCACTTTAAAAGACTGGTGAATGCTTCAGCCTGACACTTCCCTCATTAATATGCATGCATATGTAAATTGGCTCCTTAATGCAACAAATTGGTTGAGCGTTAACACATGTCCGAAGGCATCAATGTCTTGACTTCCTCTAGACTCTCCTGTTGCTGACACAATGAGCTGTGTCACGCTGCTCCGAACTAGTTTAGGAGAGGCAGACAAATGTAACATAACAATTCACCCACTTTTTCTATTGGCGTTGAAGATTTCCTGAAGGTCCGTATCAGCGAGGAGAATGTTGCTGTAGGCAGTGCTTTATTTATGGGTTGGATGAGCTAATGCTTTAGATTGGGCCACCATGCAAGTCTCTGAGGGGCTGACGCGATGTGACACTGTCGTTTTTTTTTAAATACAAAGGAACAATTGAATGGTGTTAGGCTAGACAGAGGCAGTGTTTGAAGAAGATTTAAGCCTCACAGCAGGCCCATCAATAACTGTAATCTGGCAGGCTGCGAGCACAAAGAAAACACAATCGGGATTCTTGGATGTGTTCCCTGACTCCCGGAGAACGGGTCTACAGAGGTTATTTTTCTGGGGCTGTGCGGTTCATCCATCATCTGTAAAACCTGGAGGTGCAGTCCCTGCTGCGTCTGCTGTGAAACCGACCCGTTCTCCATCAGAAGACTGGGCTCCCTCTTGTCAGGCAAGCCACTAGCTCAGAGTCGCCGACCGAGGAGTGCAGAGAAAGCAGGGGAAAGTGAGTTCAGTCTAGTTTGCAGTAGAATTAGCTTGTCTGTAAACCTGGGCCCATCTGCATCAGAGCCACTCAGGGTAGGTTTGAAGTGGCGAGTTTCAGACACATGAGAGTTCATTTATTTCAGGGAAGGTGTGAAGGCCCGTCTCACCAAATGTTTCCACTTTTTTTCATTTTCTAAAGAAAATTAAATAGATATCAATTTTAGTAAGATATCAGACTTATTAAAAACTGTGGGGGTGTTTCTGTTTGATTAGTACTATTAATTTTAAAGTGATTAAGAGATATGATAATTTGAAAGATTTAGACAATACTTTATACATTGTACTTTATGTATACATTTGATAATATAAAGACAATTAATTTAGAGATGGCTAGTCTAGGATTTCCACTATTTTCTCCTGACTTTCTCTTTATTATTATTATAATAATTATTATTAGTGTCCAGAAAAGTGCTATTTGTAAGTGTAAGGAATTATTATTATTATTAACAATAATAATAATAATAATAACAACAACAATAATAATAATAATAATAATAATTCCTTACACTTACAAATAGTACTTTTCTGGACACTCCACCCAAAGCACTTTACAGGTAATGGGGACTCCCCTCCACCACCAAGGCAATAACCCCATGAACAGGCAAGAACAGCAAAGCCTTGGAAAAGCATCTCAAATCATTATATGAAGAATTTGGAGAGTCCAATGGATTACAGAATTCATGCAGTTATTGCCTCAAAAGTCATTATTGTAAGTCATTGACTTACTGCATGGTGAAGTGCTACTCAATAAGTATGGAAACACTTTCTTCCACATAAGCAGACAAAATGTTTCTGAAATCTTCAGAAGTCATTCAGCGTCTGCCATCATTCATTACATCCTCAGTAAAGACGTGCGAGTCAGTTTCAGAGGCGGCCATGCGTACCCAGGCCATGACATTACCTCCGCCTGGCTTCACAGAAGAGGTGGTGTTGACTGGAGCTTCTGCACTTTCTTTCTCCACACCTCAACCTTTCCATCGCTGTGGTTGAGGTTTGTCTTGGTCTCACCTTTCCTGGCTCAGCTTGGACTTCTAAGCCCATTCTAATCTAGCCTTTCTGCTCTTGGTGCTGATGAGAGGTTTATGTCTTGTGATGTGGCCGCTGTAACTCTGCTTTCTCCATTGTCTGCAAACTGAGAATATTTTGATACCCTCATCCCTGCATCTTGGACGGTGTTGACTACACGGACATTTGTTTTAGGTTGTTTCTGTGAAGCTCTGATCATCTTTCAACTCCAGATGTTTTTTTGTCCGAGTCCCCCCTCAGGATGTTTCAAATGATTTATTCTAGTCTGCCAATTTTTTCTGCTGTGGTTCTGACTGAGTTTTTCTGTTTTCAAGCTTCACATTGCCCTGCTTTTGTTTACAGAAAGGTTTTAATTTTGGCATTTGAAAACGTTGAAGCCAGACCTACAGGATGTTCTCAGCTTTTCTATGATCATGAATATCCAACAATTAAACACCTGGCCAGCAAGAGACAACGTTAAGCCAGTTGTCCCAAATCTTGTACTCCTTGAGAATAAAACCAATTGCCACTATTAGTTTGTTTAAGTAACCAGAGAGAGGTGAACTAAATGTACAAACGTACGTTTTGTTTTTCTTTCTCCAGAAATAATTGTTCATAGTGAAAATCCCAGTTAAGGCCTCACTGCCCCAAAACATTTGGACGGCACTGTAGCACATTCAAGTGGTAACTTGTACACTTGTACAGTGAAAGAGCCTCCTGTTTTCAGGCAAAATAGTTGGAAATCTACAACTGTGTGTGTGGCTCACTGTAGTAATGTGCTCCATCAGGTGTGTGTGTGGCTCAGTGTGTGAGGATGCTGTAGTAATGTGCTCCATCAGGTGTGTGTGTGTGTGCTCAGTGTGTGTGGCTCAGTGTGTGAGGTGCTGTAGTAATGTGCTCCATCAGGTGT